CTTGGGAGGGTGGGGTGGGCTGCTGGCCATAGCTGCAGCCCCACCACCACTCTGTGCTCGCCCAAGCCTTGGCCTCTCTCCCGCACCTCCGCCCCATGGATTCGCTCCTGCCAGCCAAAACCAACCCCTCCTTCCTGGAGCTAAACAGTGGAGATCTGTTCCAAAAGCTGCTATGAATAGCTTCGGCTTGGGGCAGGGGGACGGGGTGTTGTGCAGTGTGGCAGGGACAGAGCTGGGAGGTGGAAGATGGGGCATTTGTAATTAAAAGAAAGGTGGCAGCTCAGAAATGTGCTCCCAGCCCCTGCGTGGCTGTACCTGCCTGCTTTACAAAGAAACAAGCCTCGATTTTTAAGAGGAAGGTTGGTGCTCTATATAGATCATAAGAATTTTATGCTACTGATATAAGAAAAACAGGGTGGTGTCTGCTCTAAGCCAGTTCCCCACAAGTCACCCTGTGCTCCTACCGAGCACCTCACAGGTGCTCCCAAACCTCCCTCAAGGAGTTCAGCTAACCAGGGTAAAAGCTCTTTCCACGTGGAGTCTTGCTATCTGTGACCTTCACATTTCACTCCAAATACTTTTTTTTTTTCTTCTTTCTGCTCTCTTTCTCATTTGTAACCTGCAAAATTGCGGTGTGAGAGCACGGGACGGTGAGACCTGCCTCACGAGGTCACAGCAACGGCCCCCATGGCATTGCTGTCAGGAGATGCTGTTTGGGGATGGACCCCCCTCTGCCATCCCTCCCCAGGTCTCACTGCCGCCTCTCCCCGGCCCCAGGGGCTCCCCGCCATGAGCCAGTCCTCTGCGGGCGGCAGCCCTGGCACTGAGGGGTTCAGCTGCTGCCCGCTGTCCCATGCCCTGCGTCTGCAACAACCTCCACGCTCACGTCCTCTGCCTCAACGGGAACCTGACAGACATCCCTGGCACCATCCCGCAGGTAGATGAAGGGATGGGCAGGGGACGGGGGCAAGAGGAGGTAGGGAAGGCAGCCCTGGGGTAACTTGGCTTTGTATTTGTGTGACTGACAGCTCACCAAAAAACTGGACCTTTGGGGCAACAGCTTCACGGTCATCCCGGCGGGAGCGTTCCTCGCCACCCCGTACCTCACGCACTTGGACCTGCAGCGCTGCAACGTGGAGAGGCTGGAGGAAGGGGCTTTCTGGGGGCTGGGGAGGCTGGTTTACCTGAACCTGGCCTCCAACGGCATAGCCCTCCTCTACCAGGAGTCCCTGGACGGGCTGTCCTCCCTCCAGCAGCTCATCCTGAAGGGGAACCGAATCGAGGAGATCCAGCTGGGTGCTTTTGGCCATCTGGGTTCCCTCACTGTCCTTGACCTGAGGGCAAATGCTTTGGTCTATCTCCCAGACATGGTCTTCCAGGGTCTCCAGGTCCTCAGGTGGCTCCGGCTGTCCCACAATGCCCTCCATGTGCTGGGCAGTGAGGCCTTCACCGCCCTGCCCGCCCTGCGCAGGCTGAGCCTGGACCACAACGAGCTGCAGACGCTGCCCGGCGAGGCCCTGGCCAGGCTGGACGGAGCTACCCGGCTGGACCTGGGCCACAATCCCATCACCTACGTGCCCGAGGAGGCCCTGGCCATGGCCTCCCTGAAGCACCTCTTCCTGGACCACGCCGCCCTCCAGGACGTGGCGCCCGACGCCTTTGCCCGCAGCCCCCAGCTGCGCACGCTGGACCTCCGTGAAAACCAGCTGCAGGGGCT